AAAAAAAAAAAAAAAAAAGTACCACGCCATCAAGCGATTCCCCATCCAGAACTTGAGGCTTGAAACCCTAAATCCTACGCCCCACGGCTTTTCTGTCAGAGGTCGCTGCACGAAGCGGGGAAGTACTGAGCCGGCCAGGCATTTGCCTGGGTATCAGCTGTAGTTCCTATACTCTTTATGCTTACCTATGGTTAGCTGGGACTGAGGGAATGAAAAAGAAAATGGAAGCCACTATAGTGGTTCAAATAGGGACTACTATTAGAATCCATTCCTTCATTCCTAGCTAGCTAAAAGTTAGTATGGAGGAAATCTTCCACTACCCAGGGCTCTGGGGCTATGTAAGTCCCAGGATGCGAAGGGAAGTCAAGGCGGTGGAGGGTGTGGGTTTTAGGGTCTAGGGTCTCCTCCATCAACAGGAGTTTGGGTATTCAATTGTAAAGGCACTCCTACACTTAGAAAGTGAAGCTGCAGCAGAGCCAGATGTCGATGAAGGCGCGACAAGTCTTGCCCTGAGCCCTTGCTTGCAGGGTCCAGGGGACTTGGTAAGTAGGTTACGTAACGGGATAACTGGGCTTAGGCAATTGTAGGGGGTATAAGTGTACTCACTTACTACGCCTCTCTGATTCTCCAAGTAACCATGGGTACTTCCCGACTGCAGAGTCCTGGTAGCGAACATGGCTTTTTCCTGGTTAAGGTACTCTGGTTTTCGGTGCTGAACATGAGGGATGTAGACCATTGCCCCTTCAAAGCTTGGGGTTGTCCTAAAGGCTATGGAGAGTACAGCGCATGGGCGGACTCACGTCTAGAGCCAAGGGTATAAGGTATAGGCAGAGGTAGAAACGGACCGAACAAGCTGCCCTTCAGATCCAGACCACACGTCTGAACAAACCCCCAAGAGCTGCTGTGCGCTGAGGATGTCTGAGAATATAGTCCCCCTCAAGTAGATAGCTTATGGGGTATATGCGGATCTTGTTATAATATACCCAAAGCCATATTCTATCTACTTAAGGGGGACTATAGGTCTGTACAAGCTGGAGCAGAAGAACACTATGCATGCCTGCTAGCCACTGTCCACCGTCAAAAAATTGCAACAGTATGGCTACCCTACCTATAGCTCCACTCAATACGACCAAAATGATGTAGATTCCCTACTAAGAGTTGACGGAGTAAGGCTGAAATGCCACACGGTTTAAGGTTTTTGGTTCATGCAGGATCTATGAGTACTTCTCCTACTCAAAGTATCCCACTACTCAGTACTCACCCCGATAGATCCCGATAGATGAAGCTAGGGGGGCTGAAAACCCCGCTGTAGGGGCTTAAATATTTACCAAGGCTAAGGTCTTAGTTTCCTTGTATAATGAAAGTACAGGGTACCCGAAGTAGACGACCTCAAATCGATGTTGGTAACACAATTAGGCCCTTGCATTCTACCACCTTCTCTGAGACTTTTAAGGCTGTACGCAATCCCACGCATCAAGGAGTCACTTAATCATAATCCCCAAATCCGGCACCTTACATCAAAAGAGGTCAAGGCCGGTATGAAATCAGAAGCCTGCCCAGACCCCCTAAAGGATCCACAACATGGAACCCCCTCATATTCCCCTAGTTTCTTCAATGTAGTCATGGGTTGACATTGGGGGGGGGGGGTCCATTTTTTGGATCCTTTAGGGGCTGTGGGTGAGTCTTGATGGTGATTGCCCCTCCTTTGCTCCCATAGAATTACGGCGCAAGATACACCGGATTCTGTTCTGACTATTCAGGCGCGCACCTTTCTCATACCTGTGCTCCTCAACAATGCCACCCGAAGGAGGGCTATAGAAGGTTTTAGGGTTCACAGTTTAGGCTTCAGGGTTTAGAGTTTAGGGCCACAGCCCCTTTGCCACCTCGGTTATTATTCAAAATCCACCCCCTGCAATCACTGTTAGGACCTGCAAAATAAACATAAACGCTCCTTATAATTCATAGTACTTCCCTAGGGTCCCCAGGCCCCCGTACTGCAGAAACCAACGGTCCAGCCCTAGCTTCCTAACCCCCAAACCCTGACTCTCAACCCGTACCCCTAAATTCCTAGACCTTAAACCCTAGACTCTTAAAACTTTAGCCCTAAACTCCTAAATCCTAAGCCCGCAACCCTTAACCATAACCCTAAACCCTACACTCTCAACCCTAAACCCTAAATTCCTAAACCTAAACTCTCACCAACCCTAAACCCTAAATTCCTAAACCCTACACTCTC